GAATTATACTACATGTATATTTGAAGGAATTTTTATTTATGTTAATGTTTATTTAATTCTATAAATAATAAATGGACATTCAAAAGAGTGATGGTAAAAATAATATGTGCGTAGCATGCGTAGTAATTACAATTATTTACCGAAGCCCCTATTCAATTACAATTGCAGATGAATTAAAATACAACAACACGGGATAGAGCAATACTTTTTTTAAATGTATTGTTGCGTGAACAGACAAAAACAGCGATTAAAATTCAAAATGATTTTTATGCACCAGTGTTTGGAATTAAGATTATAAAAGATCGGTAAAGTAATCTTACTGATTCGATATAATTAAAAACATAACTTTCCATTAATTAATAGCTCTTTGTACAAAATTGACATTATACGCGATCACAAATACTAGCTTTGTTTATGGCCACAGGTGGCTAGTACACTGGTGACCTCGATCAAAGGCGTGGGATTCGCGCGTTGGGTTACATAACTAAACATCGAGCTGAACATGGAGACCGTAATATGCATACAGCTAATGATCGTGAATTATTCAATGCATACAGTTTAAAATCACTTACAAAGTTTGTTGTAATAATAAACGTAGAAAGATAGATTTAATATTCTCCGCTTTTGAACACTATTAATCTAATTTAAAAAAGAAGAAAAAAAAGACTAGTTGTAATAAATAATTTAATAGTGAACCATAAACCACGTTTTAAACCTTATTAAAAAGAAAATTAACATTAAATACCGCAGGGTATATTATTGATAGCAAGTCTGTTTAAGTTATACACATGAAGAGGTCTGATTTCCTTGCCGAATGAAAAACGTTACCTGTTTACCTGGCCTGCTTTCTAATACGTATTACGCAATACCCATGGTATACTCGAACAAAACAACATTTTCATTAGATCAAAAAGGTGTAAAAGAACAATTTTGTTCCCAAGATCCAGATCGAAATATTTACCGTTTTTGAGTTATAAAGCAAAAACTTTTAAGGGCCCAAGATCCCTAATCATAGGGGCCAGCCCCTTTTAAATAGTATAATATGAAAGCCCCAGCAATTATGCACAACTTTTGTTCTACATGTCTTAACAAAATATTTCTAGTTTTCAAGATATAAAGGAAAATATGTCAAATTTTTTGCTGTTTTCCGCGTTCTAACTTTTGACCCCTCTCTAGCGCCATTTTTAATGCAAAAATCAAAAAACAAAAACCGATGTGCACAACTTCAATGCTTCCTCTTTTCAATTTCAAAGGGTTTTGTGCTCCAATTATAACGATTTTTGAGCCTTTGTCTGGAAATCGGAGGCATGCAAAATTCAATCAAAGGGAAATAACTCTTGAACAGAAGGTAATTTCCGAATTGTATTACGGTATTCTGACAGTGTTTTGTAAAGTCTAAAAGCTCTGAAAATTTGAACAAAATCTGTTTAAAAATGAGGAAGATATGAAGCGTCAAAGTTGGCGTCTAGGAAAAAAAAAAAAAAAAAAAAAAGAATAATCTTAATCATCACAATCAGTAGAAGGTCTTCCGTTGGAAACGGAAGACCTTAAAAAACAAAAACTAAATGTTTACGCATTGTATGAATTAACCTGCGTCCTTCTTGGCATGGAACCGATTAACAAAAATGGTAGATATAAAATCTTTAACCAACCACAAGAAATATGAAATTAACAAAATAGATAGATATAAAATTTCTTACCAACCACAAGAAATATGAAGATGTATCTTTGTATTATTAGATAACTATTTAAAAAAAAAAAAAAAAAAAAAAAAAAAAAAAAAAAAAAAAAAAAAAAAACGGAAATCATTAAATGAAGAAAATAATTTCATTTTCGAAGCTGTTTTATGATTTTAATCAAGAAAATGATGTTTATGGTGCATTGTCATTGTCAACACCCCCCCCCCTTCTGAAATAATAACTAGCACAGAAACTTAGTTAATGTCAAGGACTACACTGTTATACATGTATGCCCCCTGTAAGTTTTCGTGTATACTTACATATTATAATTATGTGAATCAATAGCACGCCTCTACAACTTCAAACATGCAATTGTATTAAACATTATGCAAATACATATACAGTGGTAACGGGAATATTTTACAAACATCAGAATGATTAATCATTGAAACGTTTTCTCCTACATGTATAAAGTCTTCAATTTTCCGTCTCTTGAGAACATTTCTCTCTAAAATCAAAAATAAAGTGTTAGTCTACGCTAGTGTAAAAGGATTTCTTTCTTTTGTCCCTACGGGTAATGGAATAAACTATAATTTTGTTCGGAAAAAAGAAAGAAAGAAATCGTGCATAATTTTTGTTCGGGTGAAAATTAAAATTTTCCTCCAAGGAACAACAAAACATGATAGTTACAACTGTAGATGTATATTTTAATAAATACACATGTAATTTAGATAAATAAGATATTTAAAATCGTTGAATAAAAAAATAAAGTTTTCTATTACTAACAAGATATTAAATTATTTTCCCGTCCCTTAAGATCCACTCACACATTTCATATAGACACATTGATTTCTATTGTTCAAGAGATTTTACATTGTCCAGAGTGAACATTATTCTGTTTGAATTTGATGGTTTAAGACAGGTAAAAAGTTGTCTTGTGATTTTCGCAATTCATTTAAATCTACATTTATATTTCTGACAAAGAACCTTAAATACCTGGACAACCACAGAGGTAGGTAATTACATGTACCAATATCTTAAGATAAATAAATAGAACAAGATACCTGTACATATTAGAAATTAAGTATTTGTTACATTGGTAAAACTTATGTTCATAGAATAATTTATATCAGTAATTAGATCAGATGTGGATAAATCTGATATCTCTATATAAATAAAATATATCAAAATTTTAATACATGCTGTTTACATATGGGCAAATATTTTCATTAGAAATATTTTTGTTTTCTTTGTAAATACATTAGTTGTAAAGAACATATCCTTAGGAATTTATTTGGTTATTAATATATAGCTTTATCATTATATCTGCTAGTCCAATAAACTGGCTTTATTAGTTTGTTATGAAAGAAAGACAACTCTTCGCGGTTGTGAAAGTAATTTCGAAGATTAAGCTTGTAAGAGTTATTTTCCATCATACATTGTAAGGAATTTATATAATGATTTCTATGTATATCTATTATTATATTTTTATAGTACCTAATATTATTGTGTTTTTATATTAATTTAAGAGCCAGTTGTTATTTTAAATTAATGTTGAAATGATGACGAGTACATACTGAGAACTGGATTATTTCAAGCCGGGAATATCCGTTACACAATGTTGTCGTCATATTAGTATCCAAGTAAAGTCAGGTTTTTTAGATTTAAATATTATTTTGAATCGTGACCCCTTTGGGTTAAGTCGGGTCACAGTTGGGACTCAAAATTTTACATTGGGAAAAAGAAAACAATAAATACCCTCAAAAAACCAGTCTCCTGGTCCATATTGACCTTTTAGGGCAAAGTTGTCATAAATATTTCCAATAAGAAAGAGAATGAAATCAATAATAGATTTCCAATCTGTTATGAAATCCTCCAAAAAGTTCTGTTTTGTGTTAAATAATATACATCTATTAATTGGGTTCGAGAGTAACATGCGTTTTGTCGTACCCAAGAACCAAACTGTTAGGCCTCAGGCAAACAGTTTGGTTCGAGGGGTCGACAAAACGCATTTTGCCCGAGAACACAGTCAATAAATGTTTTGTTATAAGTTTTATTTATATATTATTATTTTGTTATACATGAATCTTTTGCGGCTGGCTTGCATACCAACAAATGCAAATAAGATTTAGCTAATCCCTCCAACAGTGTGACATAAGCGGTCCAATATCTCGTCCACATGTCCAATATCTCACTCTGCGATCAAACATCGACTTTTTTATGACTGCTCAGTAAAACATTAGGAATGTTAGACTTTTTTTTAGTATAGATTAAATATAGGTAATAATTTTTAAAGGTATAACAAAAATATTTATCATATGTGCCCCAAGGAATTGATAGCTTAATATAGTAAAACAAGAAGCTCACAGACCCAACAATCTAAAGAGAGAACATCAACTGTTAACATAAATGTATGAATAGAATATTAGGCCTACGGTTCATCATATACTTGGCACATGTAGTTTAACTGTTCTCTTTTATGAAACTTTGTCTTCACAATCTTCTTTTATAAACATCAAGATCAGCCATGTCTGCAGTTAATGTTTCCTTCCAAATTTGCTTCCATACATGTACCTGGATATCAAGACAGGCGAGTTTTCAATTCGTCCAGGTTATTTTTGGTCCATTTGTTTTGTTCCATTTACCAAAACTGCATGCAAGATAAAAACGAAAGAAAAAAATCTGAAAGCTGAATCTAATCAAATTGATGTGCAATGGATGTTCTCAAAAGAAAAGTTCGCATTTGACATTTTTTGTGCACATGCAGTCATGTAACTCATTAAAACCAGTTATGTATTAAAAAATAAATTCTTACATTTTGTTAACAAGCATACAGGTTTCTTTTCATTTATTTCCTCTGCATTACATTGCTCCTGTAGTCCTCTTGATTGTGCCATCAATTTTTTAGGTGATTCTCTTATTTCTTCGGGGGGATTTTGGGTGTCTTTATGTATATCATCTGTAGCTGGTAAAGCTGTGGGGACAATTGCACGTTTGAAAAGAAATGCATACAGTTTAACAATTTAAAACAAGTCATTCCGGGGATTTAATCAAACTTACAACATGTACTCTGACAGTTTAATTTTCTTTTTCGTCGTTTCATCACTGCGACAAATACAAGACAAGCTAGGGCAGCAGTAATAATGAGGCTAATGCATAAAACATGTGGTCCTCTGTAAGTATATAATGCACAACAATATTATCTTTAACATTCTAACAGTCTTACCTGTAAGAAAACATGTATTACTTATCATGTTAGCATTGTTTTATTATTTACAAATATATGAATGCTTTCTTAATATCAATTACTATTATAGTAGCTTACTGATGAGAAGATAACCCTGGTGCCATTCTGATTTCATTGCTCAGTGCAGCCTTGTTTGTTTCTTCTTTGAATTTGAAACATTCTTGATCTTTTAATTATAAAATTTAAAAAAAAAAATACATGTAATAAACTAAAGCAATAAGGACATTTGCAGGAATATGTAATGAGGACATTTGCAAGAACATGTATAGGAAAGAAGTATTCTCATTTAATAATACATGTATAACTTACACAGAAAACTTTCACTGGAATTGTAGTGATATGGGCATTTATCACAGACATGTTCATAATGTTCTTGTAAAAAAGCACCGCCATGGGAAAATTCTGCACATTTTCGACCTATGAAGATTTCTTTCATTAAAAAAAAATCATTTACTATACGGTATACAATTTAATCACTAGTAAAAAAAATAATAAATTTTTGATAAATTACCCACGATGACCTTTTCCTTTGCGCACAGTTCAATAGTGGCACTCCCCCAAACATTTAAAACACAATGATACTTGAAATTCTCTTCAGAAGTACAATTCTGACGAACTTTGTGGCAGCCAAACTCTGTAGATCGAGACATCTACTCTGCTTTATTTTTAGGACATGCTGAAGTGTATTTCATCGTTGAAATGGACTCAAAACATGTCTCCTTACTCTGCAATGAACAGATAACAGTACATACATGTACTTGATCAAGTGACCATTACTTCAATAATTTATTTTGTTTCCCATTGAACACAATTAAAATTCACAGAACGACATTTCTTTTGCAGGAAAATGATATCATTTAAGGAGAGAAAATCCAAATAAAAGTAAATTTATGAAATAAATTTCACATTCAAATACTAACCATTTCTGATAAGTGGAATAAAGGTAAAATTATCAATGCACTGAAAGATATAATACAAATTTTATTACTAAACAAACAAAAACAAAATATCGAAAAACCCAGCTTTTTTACCTTTTGTACTTAAAGAATGTGGATCAGAACCCCCTCCCCAAAAAATTGTACCTGAAGGATGTGGATCAGACCCCCCCCCCCCCCATAGCATTTTACTAAATCGGGTGTTTTTGTCTGGGAGTGGAATGGCTATCAAGTTAACAATAACAATAGCGTTAAAAATAATGCATTTTACTTGAATAAGTCATATCCATCTAAACAAAATGTTTGACAAAACTATTTTATATAATTCAGGATATCATTGCTATTATGCGCTTCTTCTTTTTTTATATCTATTTTTTTAACAATTAAGAATCTCGAGAAAATAAATAATCGAATTGTCTGGAAAACAACTGTTTTATTATTTGTTTCAATGATTAAATGATACATAACAAACTTGTTCAGCAATCCATGCAATCTTTCCTGTTTTCATTTGTTGAAGTCTTAGGCAAACGTAGTGAAAGAAACGATCGAAGTTTAAAATTATCAAATAGTTGTATTAATTTGGAATTATATTTGATATATTTTACATTATTTTTTTTTTTTGGTGCGACGTAGAAAATAATTAATGTAAGGCACGTGACATCGGTTTTGAAAAGGGAATAAATAAGACATTTTACTAGGAAAAAAACTATGACAAACCCATAAAAAGTAGGAAAATTCTCCAAATTCCAAATCTTATTTAGTTGGAGGGGGTGTTTGGGTCCATTAAGGATCCCTAAATAGTAATTTGCCTTAGATAATATGTAAATGAGAGAGAGAGAGAGAGAGAGAGAGAGAGAGAGAGAGAGAGCAATACATTCTATATCAGTAATAAATACATATTAAAGATTTAATAGAGTTTAAATAGTAACTACATGTGCATATGTCAGAGCGGATAAAGAGCTTACAGTGAACCCAGTAATGTATAAAACAGATTGTTCAGGCATTTTATTTTACGATCTTGTATGTGATTTTCTGAGAATGATTATAAACCTTATTCAATGAGTAAGAAATTTCATCTTTGTATGAAAAACATTTGAATTTTGAAATCTTACCAAGTGTCTGTTCACCCTCTTCGTGCAGAATTTTAAATGTTGCGCTTTGATTTGAGTGTTGTCAAATTGTCTGCTTTTCATTGGCTGAAAAAAAAACATCTAAATTTAGAATGATATCTGCACATACATGTAGACTGGTACCCTGACATAGGTAATTCCTAGCGGCAGTGACTGGAATCAAGGGCAGAGAACCAGTGCTACACATACATACAATGTGAAACCGGGCCGTTTCCGTTTTACATTTGCATATATATATATATAATCCAGAGCTATAAAGTAGTAGGCAAAAATTGTTTATAGAAAAGAAAATAAGTTGTATAGAATTTTATGTTTGGTTCCGCGTAAAAAAAAATATGATAAACGTAAAGTGACAAATTCTTGATTTCCTTTGCTCGAAATATATTTGCTAACTGTGGTTTATCAAATAAATGGTATAAATATTTTTTTTTTTTTAATAATGCAAAATGAAAGTGAAAAAGACAAACAAAGGATAAAGAATCAATATTTCCAATAGTGGATTGAAGTTCAGGAATCTTCAAAAAGTATCAATCACAGAGTTACTTAAACCGATTTTGAATGTGGAAAAAATTTAATCTTTTTTGATATCTAAATTTAGGAAAACTCTGTAAGACTTGTAAAATTTAGAACAACAGACGCCATCCATCAATCGAGACAGAAAGAATGAAATGAACTACTTAAGTTTGTGATTTATGCGATAGTAATCAGATAGGACTTATATTTCGCTATATTTTAAAATGTTATGCTTAAGGACATTTGAGAGAAATGAATGTTATTGTGTGATCAAAAGATGTTGAAATTTAAAAAAAAAGTGTACTTATAATACTAAAATTAATTGTTGTTTAGTTTTCCTCTAGCTAAACTTGAATCACACTTCCTGCTTAACCCATTCTATTATATGTACATGTATTATATGTATATTGTATATATGTTTTTGTACCTCATTTACCATTTACATAGTTTTGAGAGAATAAACTGTACGGAACTAAACTGCACTTATCTGCACTTTTTGCTTACTTATATAAAATAGAAAAGTGAACGTAAATAATGTACACATACTTGAAGGAAAAGGTAGATTTTAAAGGGTGCTAATTTGTTTTATCTCACACTCCCACCCACATAGAATAAATAAAAAAATAAATAAAGTACTTTTTTATAATTGCCCATTTCTCATATTTTCCAAACTAAATTAACACATAAAGAAAATATACAAAGTTTTCTAATATTTAATAATCAAATTAAAATATTAGCGAACACGAATCAAATATTATGAAATACATAAATTTACAAGTGCAGTGTAGCGCTGCCGTACATGTAGTTTAATTTATATTCTTGTACAATTATTTCTGAGGGTTAAAGAAATGCCGCTGACAATACATTTCAATGAATTCTGAACGTCATCAAAATATTATCAGACCACAAACATATGGAACTTGTACAAGTGAAATGAATATATGACTCTTTACCTAGAACAGCTGATAAATGTCTATTTTTATAGCTAAAGGGGACCTCCACAAAACTTTTACATTCCATGATTTTACCCAAAAGGTAATACAACCATTAATTGCATGATTTTCCTATTTTATAATCATGACAATAAATTAATCAATACATGTATTAAACAGATTTGTAAGTGATTAAGGGATATGCTATCCAAGGGAAGGTCAAATCATCTGCATTCCATTGCAATCGATACAAGAAAATAAACAAGTTGACCTTACTGTGCTAAATGGAACAGCCATATCGCGACATGGTGACCTAATTCATTTTAATTCGTTTTAGTACACATTTAAATGTTAGTAAATGTAGAATAGAAGTAAAGTTCTGATGCAGGATGAATTGCTATGTCTCGAATGTTGTTTGATGAGATATAGAAACCTCGGTTACCGTTTCTACTTTTATATTCCCAAACCGACATTTCTCTACATGGGGGATAAAATTTTGTTTTCATAAATGAAAACATTTAATTGTTTAAACAGCCACATGTTAAATTATTCCATGTACACAATCCAAAGCATGCAACAATAATGATAAAGTAAAGAAGTTATTTCCTAAAACAAGTTTGAATAAGCAAACGACACAAGTATTTGACATGCATTGGTCATGTTTGTTTACGTTTACTGCCGATATTCCTCCATTTTTAAATCACCTTTGACACATGTGCACACTAGCTGAATGATCAGAGCCAAGGGGTCCGACACATTATTCCTTTAAGAGACAAGATGTATTCTGTATGTAAGGTGTACTTTTATATAAAAAAAAATGTTTTATCTTTCATTTGAAAGTTTGAAATATATTATCTATTTAGTCACGCATGAACTCTCGTACCATTCTTATTCCATTCCACACTCATTTCATTAGTTGCTTTTTCCATACACGAAACCTTTAAACATTTTATTTATCGGTTCCATAACACCATGCAATTCAGTCCTGTTACACAATCAAGAAATAAACACATAAATATGCATGAACATGTAAATAGCTTCTTAAGTGCACTTCAAGGAAATCAAAATTCTCTATTAGAAAATTTGATATGATTTGTGGAACATAGGAATCAAATCCACATAATTATATATTTCTCCGTCAAAGTTTGATTTTGGGGGCAAATATTGGTCATTACCGAATATAGTCCTTTGGAGCAGAGCACCAGAAGATCTCCTAAAATCATCAGAGGCGGGGCAGGTGCCAAGGAGGAGCAAACACCCCAGTTGCCGGCCACACCCGCCATGTGCTCATTTTCATGATCGTGCAAACGGAAAATTCGTTGACGATTTAGTGTTTAAATAATGGCCTAACAACCAACGCGAAAAACGTCAGCCAGCATTCGAGTTAATGTTCGATTGTATAGACCTACAAGGTTATTGTATCAACCACATAACCTGCCAAATGATGACCTGTCATCCCCGTTTCACCAACCCGCCTGTAAATATTCCGCCTCGTTTCAGAAATTGGAGTTTATAATATCTTGAATATTTATTTTCAAACAAATTTTACAACTGATGTTCAACTTCAACCATATGTTTAAAAAAGAAAAAAAGTTTATATACCAAACAGGGATTGATCTCAAAAATCCTATTCACAAGGAAAATTTGTTAACAAGGCATAAAGCAGATCCCTAAATTCAAGATATGGAATCAGGTGACACAAAAATGTCCAAAACAGTAACCAGAGGACATCAATGTGGAGACCAGATTAGGTGACCTCCGGTTTTTCTGATGACGTACAATTTAAGGTGACCTCTGGTCTCCCTAATAATGTACAACATAAGATGATCTCTGGTTCCCCTAATGATGAACAATAAAAGGAGACCACTGGTCTCCCTAATAATGTACAATATAAGGTGACCTCTAGTCCCCCTAATGATGAACAATATAAGGAAACTTCTGGTCCCCCAATGATGAACAATATAAGGAGACTTCTGGTCCCCCCAATGATGAACAATACAAGGTGACCTCTTGCCCCCTAATGATATACAATATAAGGTATCCTTTGGACTTCCTAATGATGTACAATATGAGGTGACTTCTGTTCCCCCTAATGATGTACAATAAAAGGAGACCTCTGGTCTCTTTAATAATGTACAATATAAGGTGACCTCTTG